TTTCCACATTCCTATTTTACATTGAGGCTGAAGGAGGGCTTTGAACACCCCCCTCCCCTTCACAATTAAATACCAGCTTAGAAAAGCAGTTTTCCTTTCCTTCCTTCGCTCCTGCTGCCCGGCCCCATGCTGCAGGATGCTCGGGGGGGCACATCTTGCAGGGCTGGGGGGCACACGGGGTCCCTACACCCCCATTCCCTGGGCAGGCACAGAGCAGGCGCTGCTTCGGCACTCCCCCCACATCCCCCCTCTCCCCGAGTCGCTATGAATAAATCATTGTTTTATTAAAGAGAAGCAGCTGCTTTTTTCCTTCCTATTTTTTTTTCCCCTTCTCTTGGACCCTCCATCCCCATCCACGCAAACCCCCTTGGCACATGCTCGAACGCCAAAAGCCCCATTGACGGCCCCCGGAGCATAGCAATTGATACACAGAGATCCCCAAATCCTATTCAGGGCCCGCTTTTCTGCACGAGCAGCCTCCAAACAGCTCATTCACTGCTCTTTTTGTCGCCGGGGTTAAGTGGTTAAGTGTGTGGGGATCCCATAAAAGGCCTTTACTCCATGAAAAGCTATATTTACATTGTAATCACCAAAGAACTGTTTAGGCGGTCAATAGCGGGGATAAACGGGGCAGCGGGCGGCGATCCGACCCCCCCCTCTCCCTCCCCAACCCCGGGTCCCCCCGGAGTGGGACTTTGTGGGATTACGTCCCCGTGCCAGCTGCTGGGGGGGGGGCTGCTCTGCTTTGTCTGGGTTGGGGACGACCCAAAAAGCAGGACGGCAGCACGGTGGGGCTGTCCTGGCCGAGCCCCCATCATCCCGCTGTTAACCCATCGCTGTCACAAGGACCCCCCGACCCTCCCCCCCCCCGGGTACCTCTTTGTGTCAGACACCGAGTCGAAACGGTATCACTTTAACGAGATTAATTGAGCACAGCGACGAGCGGCACAAGCTCAATTAATTCACCCAGAGCAGAGAGGGGGCTTCCCTTCCCACCAGGAGCCATTGCCACGTAATCAATTAGACGGTGCTCCGATGGAAATCCCCGCTGGGGAACGCTCTCACTCGTCCCGTGCAGGTGTGAATATTCATCGTGAGTACGCGGTGAGAGCAAATACAGCCCTGTCAGCCCTGTGGGGTTCACTGGCCGGGATCAGCACGAGGTGCAGGGGGTCACCATCCCTGGATGTGGCCCTGGGGGACGCGTGGGCACGGTGGGGTGGGCTGGGGTTGGACCTGGGGGTCTGAGAGGGCTTTTCTGACCTCAGTGACCCCGTGATGCTGGGCTGCTGGAGCTCTCAGCGGCACACTGCCACTTCTGGTGCCCCGTGGTACAGGCTGGAAGGTGATGGGTGCTCCTCCAGCCACGTGGGGATGGCAGCCCCAAGCAGGAAAGGTCATTTCCCCATCAGCAAAGCGCTCACACCTGCAGACAGAGCTCTTCTCCAGCACAGCCCCAGCGTGGGCTGAGATGAGAACATCCCTGTGCCACCCCTGTGCCACACAGCACCCATCTGTCCCTGCCCTGGAACGGCTCCCACCACTGCTTGCACCCCACGGCCGAGGGCTTCCCAGCACCCAGCCCAGCGCTCTGCACTGCTGCAAGGTTTTATTTCCCCTCCCTTTGGCTCCCGCTCGGGTTTTCCAAAGGCTCCCAAGCTGTTTGCCCTTCCTCCCCCGGCCGGCACAGATTGTTCAAATTAGTGTCTCAACGAGAGGATATTGTTGGTTCCTGTACGAGGATGATAACCTCTGGTAGCAGAAGGAGTTTCAGCCACGCGGAGCGCTTCCAGCCAGGAGATCCATTTTGCTGTGACCCAAAATGACAACGGACCCCACTGGGCACTGGGAGCACCGTGCTGGATGCGGCCCTACAGGGGATCCTGGTGCACTTGTGACTTTCTTCTTCCCATCTGTGTGCCCCTGGTCATTCCAGTGCAGGAAAAGGACAGGGAGAGGAAGGGATGCGAACTGAGCACTTGCAGGTGAAGGGGGAGCTGAGAAAAAAAAAACCCCTTCTGATTGGGATTTGTTCAAAGCTCTCCGCCAGCGCGGTTTGCGCATCAGAAAGCTCTGATCGTGTGCAATCAAACCTTTTAATTTCCACCAACACAACCTGGTGCAGCTCCTGCAGCTTAGAATTGGTTACGGTGATTAATCAAAACAGGGCGGCCGGATCCAAACCCTTTATTGAATGTTGTGACAAAGGGATAAATTAAAGCATTTATGGAATGTATCAGATTGGCTTCCAAGAGCGAAATTTCCAAATCCTGAAGTTTTCTGCATGATGAGGTCCAAATGTGGAACCTTTCTATTTCGGGAAGCAGCCCGGGGGTCACGAGGGACTGTCGGGAACATCCTGGGGATGGATGGTGATCAAAGGGGGAAAGAAGGGCAGGGTGATCGCTGTCCCCAAATCGGCACGGATGGATCCAGCGCTGCTGGGCAGCCAGCATCAGCCTGGCACAGGCAGCAGGCTGTTTTCTGGGCCTGTGGGATAACAGCTCCTGGGTCGGGGCTGCAGCCATCCCTGTGTGCTGCCCTTTGGGGATCAGGATGTGCCCACAGCACACAGAGGTGACAGCGGAGCTGCAGTGGCCGCCCGTCCCTCCCACTTCCCTTCAATTTCCCAAACAATTTCCTCATCGGAGCTTTCTGTCTGGAACGTATTAGTGATTCACAGGCCCAGAGGAAATGGTGTTGTTTGGGTCCTGCTCTGATGGGAAGGGTGGAGCCAGGGCCCGAGTTCCCCTTCTGTAGCCAAGGAGCAGACAGAGCTGCCACAGAAACCCCTCTGCTGTCCTGGCAGCGTCCCCACAAACCCAACCTGTGTGCGTTATGAAAGCAGAGATGGAGGAGAGCACAGGGACCCCCCCGTCCCTCAGAAGCCACCCCCACCCCCCCCCAACCCCTGGTGCCATTGGGGCAGTGCGAGCTGGAGGTCAGCACGCTGTTTACTTTAATTTCTCGGAGAGCTTTGAGGGAGATTTCCCCCCTCTGTTATTAAACTCAGATGAGCCGCTGGGGAGGTTGGGTCGCATGTGGTTCAGGGCCCTTTTTTTTTTTCTTTTTTCTTCTGTATTTTCTCTTGTTGTTGTTGCTGTTGTAACAGTTTGCTTTTAACTCTTTCAGAACGGGTTCCCCAGGGCCGTCTCCATCCAGGGGACCCCGAGGTGGGTGGTGACCCCACAAAGGCCCTGGTTGCCCCCAGCCACGCTCTCCTCACCCCTGAGGCACAGCATGTCCTCCCATGGCCATCGCCGCGGGAGATGGGAATCAATGGGAAGAATATGGAGATCTCCCCCAAACCACCTTTCATTTCCTTCTGGTGCTGCAGATTCCAGCCCACACCTCCCCCTGCTCCCCGTGCACCACCGCCTGCTGCTCTCCTGGCCCAGGAGATCAGGGGAGAGCATGCAGTGCACACCAGGCACACAGACATGCAGCGATCACACATCAGCCCGGTCCTGTGTGGGGCAATGCATGGAGCCAGGAGCCAGGGGTTGGGTGAAATCTGATTTAGGGACTTCTGGAGCCACTCTGGGGTTCACCCCGTGCCCTTCTCCCCCTGCACCCTGCCGTGCAAGGCCTACATCTCATCCAGGACATCCCATCCCGAAATCCCAGCCCATCAGATCCTGCGCTTGGTCTTTTTCAATAGTTTTTAATTTCCTGAAGGGAGAGCTTTTAATTTATTTCTGGAACAACGTGGGGGAAGAGGAGGGGAAGATGGATCTGAAATCCACCACTAAGCTCCCCCTGCCCCGAGCCCTCGCTTCTCTCCTGCCCCCTCCAGCAGTGTCCCCACTCCCCAGGTCCCTGTGCCAGGAGCTCCAGGTGACACCATGGCACGGGGGTCCCGCTGCTGCCCCCCAGCACTGCTCAGCACCTCTCCCAGTGGTTTTGCTGCCGGGCCATGGGGTTGGCTGTGGCACACGGTGAGGCTCTGGGAGGTCACCACTGAATGCAGTGCACAGTTGGCTCTGTGCAGCTGGGGTGGAATCCAGGCAGAGGGGAGGGTTGAGCGCTCAGTGCGTGTGTGTTGTTTTCATTGCAAACAGCAAATCTGCTCTGGTCTCAATCAGATGCAGATAATCCGGGGCTGGGGGAGCTGCACTGATGCAAACCCAAACCAAATGAGACAGAAAATGGTGATTTTCCTTTGGGATTCCAGCACTGATCCCAGCTGCGTGGGTGCCAGCATTGGGGAAAGGCCCCGAGTGGAGCAGGCACCCACTGACCCCAAAACCTAAATCTGGGATGGAACAGCTTCAGCTCAGCCTCTTTCAACCCCATTGCAGGAGAAGGTCCAAAGCCAGGCCCAATTTCCTCCTTGAGAATATTCTGCTTTGCTTTGACTTTGATTCCCCTGAATGTCTGCTGACACAAATGTGGCTCACAGCACAGTGCAGCCCACTGCCTGCCCCACTTCTTCCCTTCCAGCCCCACTTCTTCCTTTCATGGTCATCAGCAGAAGCTCTGGGCCGGTTTCTGCTTTTCCTTTGGGATGGGAATGTTGAGTTTTTCACCTCATGCTGTGCAGGGAGAAATGGGCCCATCTCGGTCCTTATGGGGTTTCTTTGCGGCCGGAGCAGCGCAGATCTATCGGCCTTCTGGGAGTCAGCAGATCACATTTAACCCACAGCAGCGCAATTCCCCCACTCCCAACCTTCTCAATACCTCGGCAGAACGTCTGCCCGCAGCACCCCAACCCCACAGAGCCTCATTATCCACCGACCGCCCGCGGGGCTCCGTGTGACTCCCCCGTGCTCCCCCGTTTGATGCCGCAGACTGACGGCTCCCTGCAGGGGGTGGGGGAGGACCGCGAAGGTCCCGTTAGGATCCCACGGACGCCTCAACCCCCGTCCCGACGGCCCCAACCCCAACCCCGTCCCTTCCCGGGTGATGCTGCTGCTGCTGCCCGCCGCGCACCGCCGCCCTCGCGGGTCCCTCCCCGCAGCCGCCGCCCTCTCTCTGCCCACGGCGGCGGGGACCGCGGCTTCGCTCGGAAGTGCGGCTCCGTGGCACCTCCCCGCGTGGAAACGCTTCCGCTCCCACCGGCGGCGAAGCTGCGAACGGCCCCGGTGAGTGCGGGCGGCGTTGCTGAGCGGGGCGGAGCTCCATCCCGGAGGAAGGGGAGAAATGGGGGGGGGGCTCAGCGCCGGTTCCCGCAGCCCCGATCCTTGCGCGCATCCTCAACCCCGCGGCGCGCATCCCCGAGCCCGGCCCCGCACATCGCCGGGGATGGGCAGCGGAACGCGCGGCCTTCGGGAGCCCCCGGCTGCGGGTCGGCCCCGCACTGCCCGTCTCCGTGCGTCGGTGCGCGATGCGGTGCAGCGCTGAGGCGGTGGGACGGGGTCATCCCGCACCGGCACGGAGCTGCGGAGGCTCGGGGAGCGCTTCCAGACGCGGAGTTGGGAGGTGCCGCGTAGGGCCGGGAATTGGGCTCGGGGTCTCCTTGGGCCCTCCGCAGCTCCGGCTGTTCTGTAATTGCAGCGCTCTGTGCCGCAGCGCTGCCCTAAGGGACCCCCGGCCCACCTCCGTGCCGCCCCCCGGGCCGATCCGTGCGCTCACAGCGCGGCGCTCCGCAGGCGATCACGGGGATCCTTCACGTGATTCTTGTGAGTGCTGGGAGCGCTCCCCGTGCTGATGCTCCGGAGAGGAGCACGTTGTTCTCCTTCCCCTCTCTGTCCCGTCCGCTCCCGGTGCAGTTGGGCGCCGCTTCGGGCAACAGCAGACAGCAGGGAAGAGCCTTTAGGGCAAGGAGAGCCCTTCTGCCTCCATCTGTCGGGGCAAGTGAGGGAGGAGGATGCTGCAGCCGCTCCCGTGCTGCCCCATGTGCCCACCCCCTGGATACCCAAATCTCCCAAGCACCCCAAACCCCCTTGTCCCTGCAAACCCGGCTCCCCCCTTTGATGCAGTGCCGCAGTGTGCGCTCAGCCCCACGTCTCCCTTGCAGGCAGCACCGCCGAGATGTTCGCCCTCTGCCCCCCCGACGCCCCGTTCCCGGGGGGCCCCGCATTGGGCACAGCTTTTTCAGGGTCCCTGCAACGCAACCCCGACTCCAACTGCAACTTCGCGGGGGACGATGAGTGCGACAGCAACCAGAACTGGAGCCGGGCTGGCGGGGGGGGTGAAAACACTGCAAATCCCTCCGATAATCTGCTGCTGTTAGCACAGAGACAGATGGCTCAAGGCGGGATGGGGGACGTCGCTTCGAGCGCGGCGTGCGACCCCCAGCAGGGCGAGCGCAGCCCCCCCGAGGGAGCGGAGGTCGGGGAGGGGGAGGCGGGCGGATCCCCGGCGGAGGATATCGGCTACACCAGCAGCTCGCTCAGCATCGACAGCCCCGACAGCGCCTGCGGCGGCGCCTGGGATCCCCCCGGGGACCCGCCGGAGGTGCCCGAGCCCCCCCCGGAGCCCCTTTTCCCGGCGCTGGTGGAGGCGGTGCAGCAGCTGCAGGAGAAGGAGCGCTTCAAGGAGCGGGAGAAGGAGAAGCACCACGTGCAGCTGGTGATGTACCGCCGCCTGGCCTTGCTGCGTTGGATCCACGGCCTGCAGCAGAAGGTGCTGGAGCAGCAGGACCGCCTGCAGGAGAGCTTTGACACCATCCTGGACAACCGCAAGGAGCTGATCCGCTGCATGCAGCACGGAGCGCCGTGCCCCGCTGCTGCCCCCAGCCCCTGAGCTGCGCTCCTTCCTGTCAGCGTTCTGCGCTCGGAGTCCCGTTCTGCTTCCCCCCAGCTCTCCACCCCCATCGGGGCTGAGCCCTGACTGTGATGGTGATGTTGGTGCACGGGCTCTGTGGCAGCCCCACGCGGTGCTCACCCATCCCAATAACCACAGAGCTTTAATGCCTTCCTCCTCCTCCTCGCCCTCGCTGCTCCCACACCCGATGTGTGCAGCATCGCCCTGCAGTGACCTGCAGCTCCCAGCGCCGTCCTGCTGCACACTGTGGCACGGTGCCCTGGGTCGTCCCCAGCGCTGGGCCCAGCTGTGGCACAGCCCATAGGAGCTGCGCTCATGCACTAAGTCCAGTGAGAGAGAATCACTCTGAAAAGTGACCTCAGAATGCTCAGAAATGCACATAAACATCACCAGCCCCAAACCCAGCACGCTTATTTCACAGTTCAGTGTTAGAAGAGAGTTGATTTAGATTTATTTCTATGTTTTATCGACCAGGTCGTGTAGATGCACATCTGCATGCTGGGGGAGCTGCGTTAGAACCATGCATGGCCGCAGAGCTGCTTGCAAAGCTGTGCACTTTGCATCATTTTGTTGTCTTAAAGCAAAGAGACTGGTTGTTGTTTTTTTTTTCCCCTAATGTCTGTTTTATCCAGTGGGGGCTGCGTGGGAAGTGTGAAGGACGGCCCTTCTTAAATAGAGATTCAAAAGGAGACGCTGTGTTTGCGTGCTGTGCTTTCTGCAGTGATCATTGAAGCTGCTGCTGTGATGGAGCAGTGGGCAGTGGGCTGTGCCCCATCCCCCCAGGAAGCCACGCAGCGCTTCCCTTCCTGCCACGGGCAGTGATGGAGCCTGGAGGTGCTGCCCTGAGAGCAGCAGAGCACCACTGGGTTCTTCCTTTATTCCCTCTGCCCTCCTGCAGCCACCGTGGGCTGCAGCCCCCATCGCCCAGCTCCGTGCTGCGTGCTGATGGGATGGAGATAGGAGCACCTGAGCGCTGACCCCGGGCTGACCGCGCCTCGGGCCTCGCGGAGATCAAGCAGAAATGAGAAAAAGCCCTTTGAACCTTCCTTCACCCTTCTCCCCCTTCCTGCGGAGCTGTGGGAACTCGAGGAGCAGAGCCCCTTCCAGGCACAGGGCTGGGGAGCAGCAGGGAAGGGCACAGCAGGGCCGGTGGAGGCCCTTCCATCCAGAGCAGCACAAGGAGCAGCGGAAGCCCCTCGCTGTGCCTGGGGGTGCGTTGATGTCCCTGCAGGGGGTGCGATGGATGCAGCCTCGGTGCTGCCAGAGCCCCTTCCCCCACCCGGCTCCTCTGTTTGTCTTGGTCGGAAGCATGACACAAATCTTTACATCCAAGGTAAATATTGTGAAAATCCTGATTATTTGCTCAAGAAATGAAAGAATAACTGTGGGCGCGGATCAAAGCGGTGGCTGCGCTCTGCTGGCACAGAGGCTTCTCCCAGCCCGGTGCCCCCGGCGCTGCTCTTGGAGCCCCCCCCATCCTGAGCTGCCCATTCCCAGCCCCGAGATTTGGGAAAACAAAGGCACAGAAACCCGCTGGCGTCCAGTGGGGAGCCGAGTCCCAGCTCTGCATCCCTTGGGACCGCAGCTCTGTGTGGCTCCGGTGCGGGGACGGGGATCTCATGGGTATTCCTGCATCCCCAGGGATTCCCATCCCTCCATACATCACGGGCTGCAGATGGATGTGGGGGCTCTCGGGGTCTCTCTGGAGCTGCTCCAGGTTTGGAACCACTGAGGATGGAGTGATGCCATCGGGAAGTGGGGCAGTGAAGGGCAGCTGGGCTCACGTACAGCCACGTCCCCAAAATGATCTGCAAAGCCCAGGATGTGAGAGCCCAGATTGCCACGTGCAGCAGACAGGGCCCTGTTTGGAAGGTTTCCTCTGCCTGTTTACTTTATGACCACATTAAATCCCTGTGGCTGGGGCTGACCTGATGGCACAAAGCGAGCTCTGGCAATAGTTGTCTTTTTTTACATTAAAATAAGAGCATTACAGAAACGTCAGGTGTGTAGGGAGGAAGGTGTTTCACCTCACCATTGGAACCCTTCAGAACAAAGCAGCGGCGATGCTGATTGCTCCACATGCAAGCAAATTTGGGAAGGATTGGGGTTTTCCCCTCCCTGCGTTGCCCAACCAGCAGGAGCTGCAAAACCCCTCCATGCATCCTCCAAACCCCCACAGTGCGTTGAGGACGGCGAAGTCGTGGTGCTGCTGGGTGGGTTCACACGATGGCTGCGGCTCCCACGTGCAGCACGCTGCACAACACGTGCGGTGCAGCACTGCAGCAAAGCAGCTGGGGCCACCCCTGCCCTCCATGCCCCTCTGCAGGGGTGCAGTCCAACAGGACGGGCTCCCATCCCGGCCCATATCTGATGGGGACCCAGCCTGAGCTGCCTTCTTTAATGATTCCCTTTGAAATGTTGTTGCTTCCGCACATCCCCCTTCAGGGTAGAATATTAAGCAAGAGCAACTCGGCTGGAAATTCAGATTGTTTTCGTGTCTGTTTTCATTTACATTTTAATGATAGAGAAATCTTATAAATCAGGCTATTTGCAGCACGGCTCCTCGAAAGAAAAGGGGGGAAAGAAATCAACTGCAGCAACCCAACCTCTCCCCTCTGCAAAGCGTGCCGGGAGGTGGGGGGGTCACCAAGGGCTTCTGCATGGCAGCACTTCTCCTGCCCCTTTTTCCTACTTCTTTTGCCCCGTTCCTTGCCCCGTTTCTGCAGACAGGGGCTTTGAGCAAGCAGAAATCCACTTTCAGGCCCTGCAGAGTGCTGGGGTGCTGGGAGCTGTGCTTTCTGTCCAACCTGGGGTGCAGGGAAGGGGTGAGGAGGTGGCTCAGATGGGGAACGGAACCAGGCCCTCCCCAGGAAAACAGCTGGGAGTAAAGATCACTGGGAGAGAAGCAATAAACTCTCGGTTATTCTTCTGCCATCGAGGCCAATCAAGCTGCAAAGAGTGCCTCAAGGCCAGTTGTACATCATTATTTCATAGCGCGTTCCCTCTGCGATGCAGCGGCTGTCTGGCTGCAGGGAACACCTTCGTGGTTTTAAGCATCAGCGCTGAAACATCCTGAGCCCTGAAAGCACGGGGCTGAATCCCAGCAGCCTCCGTTCTGCACTTCATTCCTCGGAGGGGAAAATAACCCCATTGCCACGACTCTGGCTGTCCATGAGCGTTTGATTGAGGGCTTGGAAACGAGGGTTCCGCACAGACAGCCCCCAACTCCCGCAGCCCTGGCGTGGTGCTCATGCAGAGCTCTGTGGTTCCTTTGGTGGGGAGGGGGGGCATCCCCAGGGCTGCGTGCCCAATGCAAAGGGCTGATCTGCTCCCAGGATGGGGCAGGTGGAAGGGAAGGCTCTGGCTGGGCCGGCTGGAGGTGGATTCCCAGCTGTTTGTGCTCAGCTCCAAACTGAAGCGGTCACCCCGAGCTCAATGGCTGCATCTTCCTCTTTGGGCCCCGTCACCCCTTCACCCCATCCTGCCTCCTTCTCCTTGTGCTTTGGGCAAGGTGAAGGCAGCCTCCAGCTCCTGCCAAGGATGGAGCAAAGAAGAGATGAATGCATTTATTGAGTCCATTGACTGCTCTGCTCACTTCATTCCATTCCCCACCATCCAGCACGGTGGCTTTTTACACTCCATGGATGCTCATTTTCACATCCCACACATTGGGGCTGCGCTCGGCGAACCCCACACAAACCCAACCCACCACAGCCTGGCAGAAAGAGCTGGAAACTTTTTAAAAATTCATGGGGGAAAAAAAAAAGAAAAAAAACCCTGCAGAATACAAAGACGAATTAAGAGAAGCCAACAGCATCGGGGCTGAGTCTGTTTGGTGGTGATACTGCTCGGAATTAAGGCACGATGGTCTTTCTCGTGGCCAGAGGGGAAGAAGAGGGCTCCCAGTGGAGAGGACCCAGCCCGGCGCTGGCGATGCTGAGCAGGGATTGATAACCCAGCACGGGGGGGGACGTGGTGCTGCTCTGGGCCGAAAAGCTGCATTTATCCCAGCGATAGCAGCGAGCCAGAGCTGCGGGCCTTGGGGGTAAAAAAGGCTTAAAAACCCATCCTTCATTCAGCAGGCAGCTGAGGAGGCAGGGGGAGGGGGAGGAGAAGAAATGGAGGGGGAATTCAGAGCTGGGGGAGGAAGGGGGGGGGGCTGGGGTTGGGTGAAGGGTTCAAGTTGCCCAAAAAGCACTGAAACATCCCAAAATGTGGTGGCGATGATGAGGAGGGAGGTGCTGACCACAAGGGTTGGGAAATGACTTGGAAATCCAGCTGGGATTTTGCTTCCCCCTCCCCTCACACCGCCTCTCCCCCATGGCTGAGCCACTCTGAGTGACCCGCACTGAGCTCAGCATCCCAACACTCACATCCCCCTCCTGCACCCAGTGCTGCCTGCGGGATGTCTGCAGGATTTGGGCAGGTCCACAGGTGGAGCAAACAACGTGATGTGACAGCAAGAGCCGCCGGGCACAGCCAGGAGGGGCTGCAAAGTCAGGGAGGAAGCTGAAGGCATTGGGGTGGTCCTGCGTGAGGCTGATGTGTGGCAGCGGAGCACTGAGCACGGGATGGGTGGCAGCCGGGGACACGGCTCTCCTTGGAAGTGAACCCAGAGGGCACCACACGGACGTGGCCTGGAAGGAACCCAAATTTTGAAACGTTGAATGTTTGATGAAACTGTTGTTGTTTCCCAGCCAACCCCACTTCTGAGCTCATCGATCGCGGGGCCAGAAGGCAGCGTTGTGATAATCCCATCTGACATCTCGCACGGCGCGGGCCAGAGAACCTCACTCCATGTGTTCTCCACCAGCCCTCCGTTCCTGAGTGCTGCGTCTGTCAGGAAAGCACTCATCAGCTCTGTGGCTCTTAGCTGGGGCCTCGGGCACAGCAATGGGCTTCCCTCACCCTCCCGGCTTTAGACACAGGGATGACTGCTGTGAGTCCAAGAACAGATTGAGGAATCCCCTTCGCTATTCTTCTCCATGGGGTCAAACCCCTGAGAGCTTGCCGAACCCTGGGGACGGGCTGCTGGCACCTTGTGGTGATCGCCGACGGCCATCTCTGCTCATCCAACCAAAGAGAAATGCCACTACCCAACGTCTCCCCATTGACAAGATGGCCATTGGTTGCCATGCCCTGGTCACTCAACCGAGAAGTGCCACCATCCACCATCTCCCTGTTGATGGGGAGTTTGCCTGCCACGCTGCTGAGCTGGGTGCAGAGCGCTAGGATTGCGCTCCGGAAAGAATTCAAATTAGGCATGCGTGTAATTACAGATATCTTATCCAAACAGGAGGAGCCTGAACACCAGTGGGGATCTGGGGAGAGATCTCACTGATGCAAAGCGGGGCGGCCCCAGTGCAGGTTGTGTTCCTGGTGATGGGGAAACGCTGGGAAGAGATGCAGTGAGATACACGGATGTGATGCCAGAGGGGACCTGGGCAGTGCCTGCAGCTCTTGGGGGCAGGAATGGGGCTCCTCCCCAGGGACCACTCATGGGGTTCAGCCCCCTGAGCCATGCAGCATTGCCTGGAGCCCTCTGAGCCTGAGTTGCACCATGACAGCTTACATCAGGGCAGACTTCATGCTCCATGATAGCTCACATCAGGGCAGGCTTCAAGCTCCATGATGGCTCACATCAGGGCAGGCTTCAAGCTCCATGATGGCTCACATCAGGGCAGGCTTCATGCTCC